CTTAGTATTTTAAACTGTTTATAACAATTAAAAACAAAACCAAAAAGATTTATTATCCGTTAGAAGGACTCGTTTGCGACGGAGAAGAACCCGGAAAATCAGGGAATTTTGGCACAAAACCAATCTTTATACATGTCAAGTTCTTGCTGCATACTAGTCATCTTTGCCTCTCGTTCCTCCAACTTCTCCTCATACATCGCATTCGTGGAGGTGTTGACGGATGGAGAAGAATTGCATTGACTAACCGAATAACTACCAATACCAAAAGTACGACCTTTCTTGTCAACCGGTAATTCCTACGAAAATATTAGAAATTAGGATTAAGTAAGTAGGAAAAAATGGTTTAAGTAAAGAAAATGTAATATTCAACAACTTACTTGAACAACGAGATTGTTCGATTCTTTGATAGATAGATGGTTAGTAGTGACCGAACCGTCTTCTAACACTTGGGAACGTTGGGTTTCCAAATCAATCTTCTTTTGCTCAATTGATTCAATTAACTCTCTAGCTTTTAGATCGTCTATTATCTTCTTTTTCTTGTTGGTGTGTGTCGTTCGTATCAACGCAAGCAAATCCAGTTCTTCTCCGGTCTCTTGTGTCTACACATAAAAAAAATAATTAATTAAAATTAAACAATTAGGAAAGAATTTGAATGACCATTTCATAAGCAATTACCATTTCATATGCTACACGTTGAGTTGATTTGGCTCCCAAATTATGAGTCACAATCCCTTTCCCGTCTCGCTCGCTCTTACGATTCTTTGAGTTTGTCTTGGAAGTGGACATGGTCGATTCCAATTGCCAATAAAGTACTAAATCATCCCAAATATCAGGGTTTATCCCCTTTGCAATCCCTTTCTTATGAACCCAACTTTGCCCCCACTCGTACATGTGACTGCTAAAAGAGGATTTCGCCTGTTTGTCAAAGGCAATGCGCACCTTTGCCATGATTGCTGGTTCCCATGTAAACACTTGCTACAAATAAAAAAATATTAAAACAGAAAACACAACTAACATGTAATTACCCGAAAAACAAATCTATTAATTCAATACATGTAAACTAAAAAATGCTAAACCATGAAGACACATGTAACACATCAAATATAGCATCAAAAGAATCGATCAATATCCATTACGTCAAGAATATTGAGATAGAAATGGTATAGTTCTCCACATAATGAGATATCATGACT